GTAATTATATTTAGCAAGGCATAAGAATCATCAAAAAAATATTGTTTTATAATTTAATTAGTGGCAAATTGACGTAGTACAATATGTACGTATATGAATCGTATACTATAGATACTATAGGTATACTACCTATAAAACATATTGTGTTGTACCATTAAATATTGTGTAACTCACGTCTCACGCTGAACTCCAATAATAATTATCCTATTGCTACAGAAATAGCTATATGTTRCCCGAGATGTTCAAGAACGCGAGTAGTAAGGTATAAAGATTAAACTTAAGTACTTATATTTTCAATGTTCTAAATTTTTAGCATTTCAAACGGTAAAGATATGTTATATTMTACTTGAAATGGTTTATTATTTTAAATATTTTTATATTTATTTATCATAAAATATTAGTGTACACATTCAAATGAAAAGAAAATTGCTTGTTTATACTAGGTACATAAAATAAAATACTTTTTAAATAATTTAAAATATAACAAGGAACAAAAATAATCAATTTACATTTAAGCTTCATAAGTTATGTAAAATTATGCAAAATTATACTCGTTTATTAATTCGCAACGTGAGATGATTTCGTTTGCTTTAAGCTAATAAAGTAATTCATCAAATAACTGAAAAATATGCAAGTGTAAAAATATTTTAAAGACCCTGAATTCATTGAATCAAATAAAAGATATAAATGAACACAATTATGCGCATTTAAATTAAAGTGAAATTTAACAAATTCGTCGCAATTATATTTTAATTCTCAAAATAAATCTTATTTAAATTCATATTAATTATTAATTATGTACAACTGCAGTACAATTCAATAGCAATGATCGCAGTGCACTTATTATATTATGTGGATACTCACTCGTAAGTATGAATTAATAAATTAATTAAAAACACATATCCGTTCGGAAACTTTCATATTATAATAACTTTTGTAAATACCTATAATGTTTTTAACAACTGACAAATAAGGAGCATAARAACTTTATAATATGATACTTTCAATCACAAACTGATAGGTCATGGAACTATGGAAGTTAAAATCTTATTATCAAATACATAAGTTATATTACTAGTTTTGAGAACTTTTATTTTTTTAAATTGATATTTGAACTTTTATGGATGATGTTCAGTCGACTTTTTATTTCAGCCATCCTATTATAAGAAAAAAATATATATAATAATCCGCAATCGACGTTGACATTCCCATAAGAAAGTCGAAAACTCGCCGAAATGTTATGTTCAAGAAGTCTTATACTAAGACATCATATTACGACAGAAAACATATTAAAACTAAAATAATATAAGACATGAAATCAATAAATCCTAATCAGGGATAAGGCCTATGACAAGACAAACACAACATTGATTATTTTATGAAACAAGTTAATGAAAATTGACACATATATACACGTCTACTGCTGAAACATTGAAAAACGTGAAATTAATTAGTTCTAATAATCGAAATAAATCAAGATCTTCGTCAGTAAAACTTTTCTGTTTTATTAAAGTTTTCCAGGATTATTATTCTTGTTGTAGCGACGATATATGTTGGCTTTGACTTGGATAACTACATGTATGTTTACAACTAAAAAATAATGCTGAAAAATAATTCCTCTACAGCAGTCGTATCCGTATGGGATAACATATATAGTAGTTGAAACAAACAGTGAGAAATGCTATTTGCAAATCATAAAAATATGTAACGACATTAACCGCCGCACGAGTGTAAACATAAAATTGTAAATTTAAAATCTTCGAGGAAAACAATTTCGTGTACATACAAGTTTAGAATTTCGGATTACATATAATATGTAATAATATACGAATAATATGGCCCGAGACGTTTACGTACAATGTTTGTGTATTGTTATTATTATACAGTAGCCGTCTATATCGAAACCGTTCGGTACACTGCACAGTATATAAAGTAACTTTATAAAAGTTTGTGTCATACAATAGTAACACGTTTCAGCTGTTCCGCAGAGACAAGTAAAATAATTATTATGAGGTGTCTTTTAATCTCCGCCAAATGCATTTGGCTCGAAGTTGCCATAATTGCAATTAAAACTTAATAAGACGGCGYGCGCGACAACTCGAAATAAACTGCGGCCCACGCGTTGCTGTGCCAGTCTATCATCATCTAAGGGAGGTTTTCACGAAACAAAAACCGTGACGAGTCGCTCTCGCAATGATGTAAACAGAAGAAAATAAATGTCTCTCCTAAAACAATGTGTGATTATTATTGCAGCGATGCTCCGCAACACGAAAATGTACCTATACACAGTATATATGTATACGTTTATACGCAGAAGAGCGATATTCAAAAAAAAAAAATTGTTTAYAYGGAGAAAAAAATACGYATGTATAAGCACATTTATCTGCATGCTTCAGTAACAATATTAAACACACATACCTACCCTATTCGTGAAAAGACATTTTAGATCCACTAATGTACGACGATTCGCGGGTGCATATAAATATTCACGATAGTGCAGCTCATACATATTTATAGACACTGCATGCAGTTTTGTTTATGGGCATCATATATTATTATGTACTAGTGTTGATTTTTCAAGCAMTTTTATGCGCATTTCAATAAAACATCTTTTTACATTTCGTAGTGCCTATTTTTTACAATATTCGTGCATTATGTCAACATTAGGAGGTGTATCGACCATAATCGATCTCTMWAAAAAAAAAAAAAAACTAAAGGTGTTGGAAAAAAAATAAATACAGCTTTTCGTAATCCCAGAGAAGAACATTGGAACTGCGTATATGTTATCGCTTTATGTCATATTACTTCAATGATTTACAACCCTTACGAGATAATTTTTGATACCCGAACGGACTCAATCGCACAAAAACCAGAGTCACCTAAAATATACATACTCGCCTACACATTATCGAAGCGTATCCCTAAACGCACAGTATCRCGTATACGCCTAACGTAACCTACACAACTATTACCTCCTCTCGTATAACCTCATATATACGCACAGTTATATATTTGAAGTATTAGCATCAATATACCTATCGGACGGACGGTGGTTTTCGAATAAATATCGTATGGTGTTGAAACGATAAAAACACGAAAATCTTGTAACGTCTGCTTCGGAGAAACGATACTTACGGAAAAATTGTCGTACCGCGTGGCCCTTGCAGGCTGTTGGCCGGAGGCCAATCGAAACGGTCTTTCGAAGATACTATAATATGGTCAAATCGACAAATCGCTGCCGTTATCACTTCCAATGATGATGACCATATTATTATAATTACACTAACCTGCATAATATATTAATATGTCGGTCATCAGTTTTGGATTCGGAGCGAAGCATATCCCCATCAATCGTAATAATATCTTTTACGGTTAGAAGTTTTTCAGAGTGTACCTATTGGCACTTTAGTGTTTTGATTTTCGATTTTATCGACAGCCTCAAGATTACGAATTTTCTCGCGTTTTTAGTATATGTACAATATAAACAAAAACCAATTTCGCTTGTTATGGAGGGGATGAGTAATAAGTTCGATTACACAATAGTTATGGGTAAATAGATACGATTGAGCAAAAGTCGTCAAAAGACGTTTCGTCATTCGACGTGACTTAATTATTTCTCGTATTAWTAATAATAATAATATTATAACAAAATCTATTTTAGCCTGCGCGGTCGTATGTTGTTTGGCTACCTACARGCGCGGATTCAGAGGGGGGCTATGGGTGCTCAGGCACCCCCTGTCATCTAGACACCAACAAAATAAATTTATATTATAAATTATATAATTTGTTATTTTTCAAAATAAAAT